GATTGGAGGCCCGTTCGCTGCAGTATTCGCTACGCTATTCAGAGTTGGATGGAATATTGTCTCTATGCAAGTATGGAAGATGCCTGACGGCTCTATTTTCGACCCCACGGCTGTCTGCATGAGCACTGACAAGCGGGTTCTGCATTCATCTTGTGTCCGATGGCAGTCAAAACAAGTTGCTGATCATCTGAGCCCTCGTGAGTTTGAGCGAGGCATCCTGTTGAATCCCATTCAAAAATTGTTGTGTTCCGATGCTCCTGCCCAGCAGCGTGCTCATGTCCGCTCGTGTTTCGTCGGGGGTCAATGGCCGATGCATCGTCAATGGGCTTCGGGATATGATGTCGAGCCCTTTTGTGGAGTTTGCCTTCAGCAACGTGAGGCCCAAGTCTGTGGGACGTTGCTGCATAGACACACCGACTGTGAATGCACTGACGTCAGATACACAGGGTCCGAGTCTCCTTCTTTTATGTCGGGGCTTGTGACGGCGGCGGTCAGCTCGCCGCTAGCCCTGCTTCTCGCCGAGCGTCGCCTGGTTCCTATGCCAATGCTACAAAATACCGATGTTTCTGAGGTGCCTCCAGAATTCTGGTACATTGGGACGCCTGAGGATTTGGCAGGGGATAGTTTCATTAACAGTTCTCTGTTTGAAGGGGACTTGTCCGATTTCGTTGCAGCAGGATGGGCGGTGGTGGCTCTGTCGCCGTGGTCGCTAGATCGTCATTCGCCGCGGGACCCGAGAGCCATCATCTGTGCCCCCCTGCTCACTGTCTCACATTCGATCAAGGAAGCAAAACTCACTGCCTTTGCTTTCGCTCTCAGGCATGCCATGCCTGGAGCCGTGATTCACACTGACAGTTTTTATGTTTGGAAGGGTGTTGTCATCAGAGGGCAGCAAGATTGTTGCCATCGTTTGTCTTCCAGTGCGCTGCGTTGGCGGGAAGTTTGGCGTCTTCTGTCCGACAGGGGTGACGACGATCTGGCGCGGCTGGTTGTGAAGATAAGGGCCTCCGCGTCCGAGGGATTTTCAGCTTGAGCGCACCACCCGCGTCTGACCGCATGCACTGTCTTGGCTGACGCGTTTGGTCGCTGGTCAGCGCAGGCTGTTAGATCGCCGGAATCCCAGCGTGATCTACCCAGCCGCCGCCTGCACATTTTCAAGGCGTGGATCAGGTGTGTCCCGAAGGTTGGCGAGGGCGACGATACTTTCCACCCGTCGAGCCTCCACAGGGGTCGCCCTCCCCAGCCTGTGCTGCAACTCGTTCGGAGCAGGCTGGCTTCGCTGCCTGAGCGTGCTCTCGCATTGTCTCGCTCCTTTGCAGAGAGCGGTTTGCAGCCGCATAGGTTGGTGCGTTTCAACCTCACGCGTGGTGTCGTGCTTGTGTGTTGTAGTGCGTGTCAGGCCATATGTGCTGATCGTATCGGCACGCCCGGCTCCCCTTTGCAAGCCCAAGCGGAACGCCTGGGCCACTAAGATCTGGGATTAAGTCGGGCCTGCCCTTCTACAGGGTGAATATTCAAAAATCGTCCAACAATAATTTGGGTATTATTTTTCGAGTATTGTTGGGCATCTGTCGAATATGTTTGGGGTATGGTTTCACGTTTCGTCGAAAATCCTCCCGTAGGGGGACACGCCCGACTTAAATGTGGGATCGCCTCGATCGTGGTGCGTACAAGCATGTGCCCAGGAATTGTCTTCTTCACGTCCGTGATAAGTGCACGGTTGTGTTGTAGCTTCATGTTTCTGTTTGCCGTATAAGAGTCGTGCGCGGCTGGATCGGTTGCGCGCAATGCCTTGCCCGAGGAGGGGGAGGAGGAGGAGGAGGAGGGGGAGGAGGGGGAGGAGGAGGGGGGGGAGGGGAACGGGGAGGTGGAGGAGAAGGAGAAGAGGAGGAGGAGGAGGAGGAGGAGGAGGAGGAGGAGGAGGAGGAGGAGGAGAGGAGGAGGAGGAGGAGGAGGATGAGGAGGAGAAGGAGGAGGAGGAAGAAGAGGAGGAGGAGGAGGAGGAGGAAGAGAGGGAGGACGAGGAGGACCAGTGTAAACCCTAGGATCATCAACGATGTTGGGGTAATTTTAAACGCTTCCTCCAAGCTCCCTCTTCACAGGCCCCTACAAAAGGTTCTTTTCCATTCATGGAACTGCCTCGTCAGAAGACACCCATTTGAAGACCCTGAAGCATGCCAAAACATGGCACCCGGGATTCCAACGCCACGGATCAACCGAACTGTTGCGTCTTGACGATCCTGAATCGGGGAAGAACGCCATTCCTAGGTTTTCAACACAGAAGGTCAACGTAACTGCTGCGCCCGCATAATCCTTAATCTTTCCAGAACACCATTGTTGGTACGTTGATGGTGGGAATCCGTGAAGCTTTTGAAACAATTGTGAATGAATGTGCGCGGCGCTAAGTCGAGAGTCACATATTGGAAAGGAACTGCCCTCAATCCGTGAAGGTCTTGCATGTGTTTGAAACGAATGCGCGCCGCGCTAAGGCGAGAGCCACATTTTGAAAACGACCCGCCCTTAATCTGTGAAGCTGTTGCAAATGTTTAAAACGAATGTGCGCCGCGCTAAGGCGAGAACTCGCCTCGGGGTGCGACAGGGAGAAGTTATGTATAGGGAAAAAGAATGGAGGCGGAGGAGGAGGAGGAGGAGGAGGAGGAGGAGAAAACGACCAGGGAGGAGAGTTGGAGAGGAGAGAAGAGGAGGAGGAGGAAGGAGAGGAGGAGGAGGACGAGGACGTGGAGGAGGAGGAGGAGGAGGAGGAGGAGGAGGGAGGAGGAGGAGGAAGGAGGAGAAGAAGGAGGAGGATGAGGAGGAGAAGGAGGAGGAGGAGGAGGGGAAGGATGAGAAGGAGGAGGAGGTGGAGGAGGAGGAGGAGGAGGAGGAGCAGGAGGAGGAGGAGGAGGGGAAGGAGGAAAAGGAGGAGGATGAGGAGGAGGGCGAGGAGGAGGAGGAGGAAAAGGAAGAAGGGGAGGCAGGCGTCGGGCCTCGTTCCAGGAGGGGCTTGCCGAGGCGGGCCCCAGGCTCCCCCAAGGGAGGCTGGGGCCCGCGCTCGGGCTCCTCCCCACGCGCACGCCGCCACCAGCGGCCAGCAGCTCACCTACCTGCCTCTGCCCCTGCACGTCGTGTCCGCCGTTCGGTCGTTCCTTCTTCTCTCTTTCTTATGCCTCTTGGTGCCATTTCCGCTCCCACCGGCACCGCAGGTTGGGAGTGGCCTGAGGCACCGGCTGTAACCGGCGGAAGTGCCTTCGAGCTCCGAGCTTTGAAAAGGAGGGAGAAGGTAACGAGGAGGCAGAACTCGTATCTGATGAAATTGCAGAGACGTAATTATCCAAATTGACTGGCCTCTAGGAGTCCGTGCGCAAGCCTTGGTCACATGGTCTTCTGTTGCCCCTCTTCCTGTTTTGCAGTTGCTTGCCCCGAAGGATTGGAATGGCGTCCCCCTGTTGTGCCCCAAATGTTTGCAATGGCCTCTTGTGTGTTTGCAACGGTTCCCTGTGGCCCAACGGCGCCCCAAAAATCGTCTCACAGTCGTCACACTCAGAGGTAGAGTAGGGTAGAGTAGAGCAGAGCAGAGTAATATATTTGTAGCTGGGTCCAGTCGAATAGAGCAGAGTAGAGCAGACTGGAGTAGAGTGGTTGCGAGTCGAGTAGAGTAGTGCAGGAGTCACGCAGAGCAGGTTATATTAGATGTGTAAAAATGAGCCGTGTATAGTAGAGTGGTCCACAGTGGAGGTAAGTAGAGTACAGTAACGTTGAGTATGCGTAGAGTCGAGTAGGGGTAGAGTAGAGCAGAGTGGTGCCTATTAGAACTGTTCGGAGCCAGTTTGGGTAGAGTAGGGCCGGGCAGGGGAGAGAAGGTAGGGTAGAACCGAGTAGAGTCGGTAGATGGTAGATCATAGAGTAGAGCAGAGAGGAGTAGAGTATAGTGGGATTCGAGTAGAGCAGGAGTCGTTTAGTGTAGAGTAGAGTCAAATAGGCTATGGTAGGGTAGGTATGGTAGTGCAGAGCAGGGTAGAGTGGAGCAGAGTAGAGTAGCGTAGTGTAGACGGTAGAGTAGAGTCGGGTATACTAGAGTAGAGTAGGCTAGAGCAGAGTATAATACAACGAAGAGTAGATGAGTAGACTAGAGCAGAGGGGACTGAGTAGAGCAGAGTAGAGTAGAGCAGAGTAGGGGTAGCGCAGAAGTAGAGTAGAGTAGGAGTAGACAAGGGCAGAGTAGCTAATAGTAGAATCGAATCGGGTAAAGTAGAGTCGGCTTGGGTAGGGTAGAATAGAGTATGGTTGAGTAAATCAGAGTAGAGTACAGTAGGGCAGATGGTAAACTAGAGCATCATGGAACAGAGTAGAGTAGTGAACATTAGATCATAATGTATTCGCGTAGAGCATAATGGAACTGAGTAGCGTAGAGGAGTAACATAAAGTAGTTATAGTAGAGGGGAGTATAACACAGCATTGTAGAGTAGGCGTGTACCAGAACATATTAGACGTATGATAGAGTCGGGTGGAGCAGACTAGAGTCGAATAGAGTAGAGTAGAGTATGGCTGGGTAGAGTAGAGTCGAGTAGGATAGGCCAGATCAGAGTAGAGTAGAGTAGGGCCGATGGTAAAGTAGAGTCCGGTATATTCGCGCACCGTAGAGTATAGGGGATTCGAGTCCACCCCAGTCCAGTCCAGTCTACTCCAATCCAGTCTACTTCAGTCCACTCCTGTCCACTTCATTTCAGTCTCCTGATCAATGTGTAGCCTGCGCTGGGATATTTTTAGGAGCCCCGCCAGGAGTTCTTGGACCGGCGCTGGGCCCCCCCCCGGCGGCGCCTCCGGCGCCGCCCCTGGCGCGCTCTTGGCGCCAGGGAGGGGGGCCCAGTACCGATCCAAGAAGTCCGCGCGAACCTCGAGAAGTTTCTGCTCATGTCTTTGGGTTTCTCTAGGAGCAAAGGCTTTCAAGCGTGGCTCAGCCGAAGCGGCCGCGAGGGCAGTCGCCCCCGGCCCATGGGGAGGTCGTTCGGCTGCATACTGGCAGAGCTGTACACCGGCTACCCCCTGTTCCCTGGCGAGAACGAGGCCATGCCCGGGCCCGCTCTCCTCGCCGCGGGCGCCACTCGCTGCCGTGCTGATGTCCGAGCGTTCCGGAACGCTCTGAGAAGGCCGCGGCGCCCGAGACATCCTCCAGAGCCGCCGGATCTCAGAGATTCTCGGAGATTCTCGATGCATCCTCACCCGCTTTCGTCCTCGTCCCCCCAGGACCCCCGACGTCGTGATTTTCTCACTGCATCGACCCCAAGAGATCTGGACCCCTTCCCCAGCACCGGTTTTTCATCCTGAGTCGTTTTTCGACGGTCCCGGGGCCCAGTGAGCGCCCCCTGGCCGGAGGCTTAAACTAATGGAACACCTCCCGCTGTGATTTGTTTCGCAACGCGAGGAGGTCTATCCGAGGCAGGGGTTTATCCATAACCATCGCCTCCGGGGATCGATCTTCGCGGACCTCCACAGGCGGTGGATCGGAGGTTGGGGGGTGAGATCACAGGGAAACGGAGATCCCCCACCGGGAAATCGGTTTCGGTTTCGTGTTCGTGTCGTGCGTGCGGGCGAGGCGAAGTTGCGCGTGATCCTTCTGTAGCTAGGCCGGAGTAGGAGCGAAAGTCCGTCTCCCGTCCGCCGGTGGCCGGGAGGTGTCCCAGTTGGGCCGGGCGGTGTTCCGGGTGTCCCGGGTGTCCCGGGCGTCCTGGCGCTAACGCATGTCGCTAATTTCATAGAGAGGGAGAGAGGGAGAGAAAGAGAGAGAGAGAGAGAGAGGGCGAGAAAGAGAGAGAGAGAGAGAGACACACAGAGAGTGAGAGAGAGAGAGAGACAGAGAGAAAGAGAGAGATGAGATCAAGGTGACAGGCTGGAGGTCAGTCAGGGTGGGCGTTTGATCTCAGTCCCCCCCAACCTCCTTCTCGCCCGCAGGGCGGTCGTATAGGTATGGATCTATTCAGGCCCGGCGAGGGCCCCCAGAGGCCGAAAATAGGGAAAAAACATCTCCCGCCGTGTTTTCTCACAGCGCGAGGGCGTCTCTGGGTCTGATGCAGCGGGTCCTCGTGCTGCCACGCGCTGGCGTTCAGTCGGGCCTGTCCCCCTACAGGGGGATTTCGACGGCAAATCAAAAATGCCCCCAAAATAATCAAAAAATAATTTCTAAAAAATGGTCCAGGGACTATCTTTTTAGTATTTTTGGACCTTTTTGGGGTATTGTTGGGGTATTTTTTAGTTTTCGTCGAAAATCCCCCCTGTATGGGGGACACGCCCGACATGACTCTGGCGCCGCCTGGGCTCGCCCCCCCCTGGGCCCCAGCCCAGCAGTCCACGAGGCCCGGCGCCGCTGCGGCGCCCTTGCCGACGAGGTCGGGTGTGGCTATAGAGGTGCCCCTGGCCCTGGGGAGTATATTCAACAATACGGGACAGATGTGTCTGGGGACGATTTCCGAACCAGCTGTGCCTATATTTCTTGTCGGTTGGTCTTTTCATGTCTCGTGCCGAGCCCGCCTGCAGGAGGGCACGCCCGACCGAACCCAGGGTGCCCCAAGGATTGCAAAAAAACCCTTCGAAGGATTGCAAAAAAACCTAGGATTGCAAAACAACCTAGGTTTTTTTGCAATCCTTCGAAGGGTTTTTTTGCAATCCTTGGTTTTTTGCAATCCTTCGCTCCACTTTGGAGTCCCTAGGGGCCCTCCAGGTCTCGCGCAGGGTGCTCTGCAGGCCGCCCTGGGCCCCCCCTGCGAATCCTGGGGGCGCCTCGGGCTAAGGGGCCCCTCGAGCAGCACCCGAACGTGGGGTGGGGGGGGGGGCGGAGCCTCGCGAGGAGCAGACCGTGCAGCCCTCGGGCGCTCTGGGAAGGAGGGAGGGAGGGAGGAGGGAGGGAGGAGGGAGGGAGGAGGGAGGGAGGAGGGAGGGAGGGAGGAGGGAGGGAGGGAGGGTGCGGGAGAGAAGGCAGGGTGTGGGGGGGAAGGCAGGGTGAGAGCAGAGGGGCGTCTCAATTTTTCCGAGCCGGGCGTCTTCGTTTCTTTCCGGGCCCCGCGGGACCCTCGCAGATCGATCCGGCTCGAAAGCCGACGCAGGAAGACGGGATCCAGGGCTCTGGGCGTGTTTTTTTTTGTGCGTTTTGTGACGATGTTGCAATCTTTGTTACGTCGGATCTCAGGGGAGTGCGATGTACCCAGACCCCCTCGAGTCATGAAGAAATCACGACAGTCAGTTTTCCCATCTTTTGGGCCTCTGGGGGCCCTCACCGGGCCTCTGGACCGTAAACAAATGACTCAGGATGAAAAACCGGTCCTGGGGAATGGGTCGAGATTTCCAGGGTTGACGTTATGAACCAGTCATGAAAAAAACGAGCATGGATTTTAGACGCATGCTGCGTGTGTGCTCTTCGACGAGAGTCAGAAGGCGAGGACCCACATCCAACCCCAGTCCTGACTCCAAGCCCCGAGCGGGCGATTCAAGGGGTCGGGGCTGGGGCTGGGGGCGTTTTTTTGTTTTTTCTCAGTTTTCCTTCTCCTCCTCCTGCTCCTCCTCCTGCTGCTCCTCCTTCTTCTCCTCCTCCTCCTCCTCCTCCTCCTTCCTCCCTCCTCCCTCTCGTCCTTCTCCTCCTCCTCCTCCGCCTCCTCCTCCTCCTCCTCCTCCTCCTCCTCCTTCCCCACTCCAGTCTCGACCCGCTGGATCGCGGGTTCGGGGATTGGGTCGGGACTGGGGGTTGGGGTGGGTCTTCGCCCTCCCAGAGGAAGTCAATGTCAGGGCAAATCCATTCTGCAGTCGATGCCCCACTCGAGCCAGTGGGCAGGGGCGCCCAGAGTGTGCGTGCTCGGGAGCTGCGCGCTCGCTCGCCTCTGCGCGCAGGCCGGAATCCTGAGAGGGGTGGCAACTCCAGAACCAGGGCAGGGGGCCGGGCCCGTGGGGCGCTTCTCGGGCTGAGCCGGCCCCGCTCGGGCACGCCCGCGGGCTCTCTGGCAGCACCGCGTCGCGGGCTTGCGCCCCCCTGACGCAGCGGTCCTTCCTCGCTTCGAGAATCTGCACCGTCGGCGCCCATTCTCTCCTCCTCCTCCTCCTCCTCCTCCTCCTCCTCCTCCTCCTCCTCCTCTTCCTCCTCCTCCTCCTCCTCCTCCTCCTCCGCCTCCTCCCCCCATTCGAAGAAAACAAACACGCCACAAAACGTAAACTCTTCGCGCTCCGCGCGGAGATCTAGGATCCGCGCGGAGCGCGAGACAGTGATGTGTGTGTGTGTGTGTGTGTGTGTGTGTGTGTGTGTGTGTGTGTTAGGCCTTCTCTTCTCTTCTTCTGCTCTCAGTCCTTCTCCTCCTCCTCCCTCCGCGGGCCCGGTGGCCTCTCACGCGCTCTCGGTGGCGGCGCGGCTGGCTTCGCAGCGCAAGTGGGCCGGCGGGGGTGGGACGTTCGGCCTCGTGGGGCCGATCCCCGGCCCCCGTCCCGATCGCCAGCAGCCCCCAAACCTCCGTCGGGGATCCTGGCATCGCTCGGACGTGTGTATTTTTCCTTCGGGAGGACCATCGAGGAGCATCCCTGATCATCTGGCGAAGAAACCACGCACAAAACCGAAAAAAACAAAGGGAATGGACGTCCGAGCTATGGCCAGGGGGCCTATGTCCCCATCCAGGGTTCAGTCGGGCATGTCCCTCTACGGGAGGAGTCTCGGAAAATAGTCTGGGGACGAATGTTCGACTATTTCTGCATAGTTCTAGATATGTTTGACTTTTTTGTTTTTGTTTCCAAACCCGCCGTGTAGGAGGACGTGCCCGACCTAAAACAACCACCGTCCCCGCCTACAGGGGGGCAACCCGGCCAGCGGGGCCCAGCCCCACCGGCTGCACGACGCTCAGGTGCCAGCGGCCGGATGCGGGGCGCTCTCCGTCTGAGGGGCCGAGCCTCGCTGCGTCGGTGCCGCTGCTGGGCGAGTGAGCGCGAGGCCCTCCGCCAGGCGATATCCGCCGACGCACGGCGCGCCCTGCCTCTCTGCGACGTCCGCCGGCGCGGCTGGGCACCAGCACCAGTGCGGCAGCAGGTGCCCTCGATGCAGCACCAGTGCGAACGGCACCTTCCACAATGGCCACTACACGCGGCACCATCGTCTCAGTGGCGCCAGCTCGGTGTGGAGTCGTAGCGCCGCTTGCCAAGGCATCAACGCACAGAACGAGACGAGCAGCGCGAGCAGAAGGATTGCTGGTCGGAAGGACAGGTTGCTTTCGGTGGCAAATCATGGGAACCTTGGAATCCCTCGTAATTTCGGTTTTAGATTGCCTTAGCGCCGGCTGGCGTCTGGTAATCGATGGGATCGCGCCGACTTAGCGTTGACCGACGTTGATTACCGTCGATCTAGCGTTATTTAGCGTAGACTGCCGTCGATCACCTTTGACTCGCAAAAACCGGCGAGATGATACGGGAGGTTCCCATGAGTTGCCACAGAAGGTTGTTGGTCGCATGAGCGCCCAGAGACAGGCCAGACCGACAGACGTCCCGCTCGATCGACAGGCGGGCAGACGTAGGCACATACACCAGTGCAGCACGCTCCGAGCGCAGCCGCCCCCCGCGAGGGCAACAGTGCGCGCCACCGGTCTGATCCGCATGTGCTTTGTATCATGTTCCGCCACGGCTATATACACAGACGCCCTCCACTGGATTGTTCCTGGGCCTCAGGGGAGGGTGGCGGTGTAGAAAGAACCACTGGGAGCGAGCAACTTTCTACACCGCCGCCCTCCTTGAAGACTCAGGCACAATTCGTCGGCGGGTGTTTCTGTCTTAATTCTCGTGGCGTACCTGTATGTGCTTCCGCAGTACGGAGGAGGCGCTCGTTGAGGAATGTGCCCATGGGGGCTCAAGGCCCTGGGGGGTTCCTTCTCTGGCGAGGGCGGCGGTGATGTCCGTGGCCAGGCCTCGATTGGTGCTCTACCAGGTTTTCAGACCCTGGGTTCCTGAGCCAATGATCCCTTAATTACTCCATGCCCTCACCGTGGCTCGAAGAGGTGCCCTGGGTTTTTCTTACCGTGACGCCTCCTACTTCGGGCATGCTCTCCACAAGCCGAACCCAGGTGGATAGTTTCGCTCGGCCTCGCGATGTGTGGGATGATGCGGGCGGCGTGTTGGGGGAACGCGTCGGTTCCGAGTACGGTCAGGCAGGGAGAGGCAGCGTGCATCTTGGACGGTGACGAGCGGCCACCTTGTGGATGCACGCTACAGTGGAGACCCATGCAAAGAAACACCCTGCTTGCCTCCAGGGTGCCCGGGGTTTCTTGATTCCGATGGCTTTGCGATGGGACGCGTGACGGTCTCACACCCAAAATCAATGGATGGCTTGGTGTCTCAGGGTTGGGTTTCTTCTGGAAGGTTTCTTGTGGCCTGGCCTCCACTGTAGCCGCCCAGCCTCCACATCCCCCCGGGCCCCACATCGGCCCAGAGATCATGCGATCGGTGAGCGTGCGTGGACGCACGTGCCCGTCTGCCTGCTCTCAAGGCTGCGCGCAGGCATGCTGCGCAGATCTGTGGCCCTGGAGAACCCGTAGTGATTCCCGCCCTCGCCTCTGCGAACAGCGCTGGCGTTGAGAGCGTAGGCCCGCGAACAAATGCGTTCCGCAGTGGCCCGAAGTGGTGTGCCTAAGCTTCTTGTCGTGACGCTTCCTGCGGTCGGACCAGGGGAGGTATAACCCTGAGATCCTGGCGGCTCATGTTTTTCGAGCCGGGCGTTTTCGCATGATTTCGGGTCCTGGGACCCTCACAGATCGATCCGGTTCGAAACATGGCGCAGAAAGATGGGGCCTAGGTCTCCAGGCGTTGTTGTTGTGACGATGTTGTATTTTTGTTCGCCAGGTCGGATCTCAGGGAAGACCGAGGTCGTTTCGGGGGGGCGGGGGGTGCCATAATGTTCTTCGTGCTTGCCAGATGTGTTCTTGTGCATCCTGGGGGAGGGCACCCTCGAGCTCTTTGGTCCAGGGCCCGGCCCCATCGCGGCGCTTCCTGTGTGTGTGTTGTGTGTGTGTGTGTGTGTGTGTGTGTGTGTGTGTGTGTGTGTGTGTGTGTGTGTGTGTGTGTGTGTGT